TGTACATATATATATATATATATATATATGTTTGGCGCTGCGGACGCACAGGTAAGTGCCAGGTAAGTATGATTTATATTTACGTTCAGTAGTGATTCTAGATACATAGAGAGCTCATAACCTGCACCCCCGGTGTTAGTGCTCCCGTCCAGAGTTGGGCACAGTCCTTCATGTGATGTTCACCTCCCGCACCATATGCTCATCTTGGATCCAAGTTAGGTGCACAGTCCTATCGTACAGACCACTTTAGGTGGTTCCGACTCGAAGGTGACCCACGATTATTCGCCCAGCTTTCGCGTGATCGTAGCACTTGAGCGTACTTATATTACACCCAGGCTTGTCGTACAGACCACTTTAGATGGTTCCGACTCGTGTACAGGTATAGTTAGTGAGATGGAGATGTGAGCTCTAGATTCAGCCGTACATGTCACGTTAGGTGACTCCGGCTGACAGATTACATGGCATTGTTTTTGGCATTACCTGAGCACTTGCATTTTACTTCGAGGCATTTGGCATGGCATACTTCTGTGCATGACTTATATATATATATATATATATATATATATATATATGTATATTATATTTTCTGGGAAGTATACAGGTTTTACGCGTGAGCGGTTAGAACTTGTTTATGAAATAGTTTTTTAAAAGCTTTGTTTTTGCCCACTCACACTTTCTGTTTTGCGCCCCTCTAGGTTCTAGTTGGCTAGCACGTTTGGTGGCTTCCTCGAGGATTTCCCCGGCATATCTGACAGACTATCACCAGTGTAGGATCACCTTCAGGTGTGCTTTTGTAGTGTCGTTTTCTCCCGGACTGCATTAGGTCTTCATGCTCTGAACTTTGTTTTCACACTTTGCTTGCACATGTATGTTATTATCTTGTGTTAAGCCATTGGTTTTTATTTATTCATACTACCTTTATTATTATTTTATTAGCTTCCGCACTGTGCACATGGCTACGTCACTTCCACGTGACAGCCAGCATGCCCTGATCTCGATCGGGGTGTGTCATATATGGTCCACATTTTGGTTGGATTAGTCCACATATATCCTCTTGAATCCACTGTGAAAAGAGGGTTGTTTTGTATCTTTGTTAAGGATGATTTAGAAATCAACTTCCCAACGAGTATGCTTGGAGAAGTGTAGTTGTAGGCACAAGATGCTTACTTCGGGTAAGGAGATGCATTTTGGCATCATTGTTTGACCTAAGTGTCCCAAAAGGTTGTGCCAAGGCAAGTAAACTGCTCAATCACCAGGCTCTAGGCCGGCCACAAGTGGCGTGTTCCCACTTGGGAGGTAGCCCATTGGCCCCAAAATAAAGCTTCAGGCTCATTTTTGGAGGTGGTGCAAAGATATTCTACTCTATTTTCCATCAATGGTTTCATTCATGATCATTGTCATCTCGAATATCATTAAAACTCAACATCGTTCTTTTAGAACAGGGAGAATATAAGGTCTTTTAATTGGTAATTTAGTACTATTAATACAACGAGAAGCGTGCCAATGCTCTTAATCAGATTGGATAGACCTGAAGTCGTTGCTAGAGATGTGATTTTAGGTATAAAGTTAGTGTGCGTAGTATTGCATTCATCCAGACTACTAACTTTCCCATATTCGTACCTAATCACGTGTTTAATTGAATTCGGTCACTTGTATACAAGAAACATAATTCAATTAACTCATATTTGAGGACAATATCGATAAGATTATCCATAACTAAAACAAACACCAAACGTGAATCCAAGAACATAGAAAAATGTTCACAAAGTAAACCAAGGTTACTAAGGTGGATTCGGCCAACATGGCCATTCATGTCAAAATTCTGCTTTTCCAACGGTGTTTGTTGGAGCAAAATTAATCTCACATATTGAATACTAGAATGGTACGCCTCAACAACATTGGTAAAGGCATAAACAGGTGCATAACCAACGATCAATTCCATCGAGATGGAAATAGATTTTGCAGGGTTGAGGTTCGGGAATAATATCCCTTATTCTTGAAGTTTTAGGTCTTAGCTGCCAAGAATCATGCTTCGGGCATGATGCCACACCTTGGTAGGCCTTGATTTTGAAAGAGACAGACCCATGCTTGGATTCAGTAAGCTCTAGCCGAAGCTAGAGAGGTCTGTTCGGTATGCCTTTGTTGAAGCATAGCACTACCGTTCGGTGCACCTCTGCGGAAGTAGAGCATGCCCTTTGGTGCATCCTTATTGAAGTAGGGCACCACCATTCTATAGACTCCAGCCGAAGCTGATTCTATACCGTTTTCTCACATTTATGGTAGTAATTAGATCCGAGAATTTGGTAAACTTTCACTCTCTACACTATTACTTCAGGAGCAAGTTAGAAATATGGAAGGACGAGAAAAAAATATTCTCCAATCAAATTCGATCAGATTTATAAACTTCAAAGTTGTACTTATTCATGGACGTAATCATGGTGTGCTTCAGGCAATATCTTTCATGATTAAACGGTCCGTAGAGGCAAGCCAAAGAGCAATGGAATCCTCATTCGAGAGGTATTTTTGTTTGTAATGCTTCAGGCATAAGTCTCTGTATGAAGATCATGGCGAAGGCTTATTTAGCTTTTCCATTTGTTGGCTACAATGGTTCTCAACTTTTTGATAGTCAAGTGGAGATTCACGTCTTATAACCACATAAAGAGGTTTGTGTCAAGAAACGTCCAAATAAGTGAAATCAAACTTATTACGGTTCAACAATCCACTAAATGGAGGGAACACAATTGTGATTGGTGCTATGGAAATAAGATCTCCATAAACATCAAATTTAGAACATTCAGGGTTCTAAGACATGGTTTACATGAAAAACATCAAGTTTCCATGAGTGTATTATTTTATAAAAACTTTGGGTTTCAAAGGCACTAAATTCGAAACTTCAAGTTTGAGTTTAGTTTTGAACTTCCGATTCATAAAAAGAGGTACCTGTAAAAACACATAATACAATATACAACTAAGTGTAGTGGATTTGGGTTGCTTCAGGAACTCAAGTGTGTGGTTCGGGATTATGAAAGATAGTCAGCAATTCAAAGAAAAGAATAAAATATTGAATCATTAATGTCCAAAAGTGGGCTTCAGGCCAATAATTTTGGATGTTATGTTAGATTAGTGGAGTACTTGTCATTTTAATTAATTCAATAGATCGGGACCATTCAGAATCGATCGTAGAAGCAAAATAATATAAATATTCAGGCCTATGCACAAAAGTCATGTTGGTTGCAGGCCAATTAGAAGGCAGCCCCAATTGGACTTCGTCCGTGAAAAGAAGCAGCCCATGCTGCTGGTTGTCTAACCAGCATGAGCAAGTGTGGGCTTTGGCAAAAAAAATAGCCCAGCTGCAAATAAGAGGGCCGAATAAATAAGAAAAAATTACAGGCCATTGGGCTCTTGGTGACACGGGCTGTGCAGCAATCTAGATAGCTGCAAGTGGCAGAGGGCCGAGATGGAGCGAGGCCCAGCAGCCGCTGGCTTTGATTTTTGGGTCAAAACACAGAAGCCCAACGAAGCCAGCTTCTGAGAGGCAGGTTGAGTTGCGAGAAGCCCATCAAAGTTTGCTGGCTCTTGGAACGGATCGAGGGCTTGAAGCCTATGCACCAGGGACCCAAGCAGCAGGCTTGGAGCAGTTCGAGGCCGGGCTCAGCTGCAAAAGAAAAAAAACACTAATTTTTTTTTTTCGAAAATTTCTAGGATTTTAAATACCCTAATTGATTCCAATTTCTTTTGATTCTTTGACTCAAAAATTCAACATAGCGATTTTATAAATGCGTAATGCATGAAAGTATATATATTAACAAATATATGAACATATACAATATATATATATATATATATCGAAAGAAAAATATCAATATAGGGCGTTCATGCATTATAGAGAATATTTTCATGTTTCATAGTCGTTTCAAATATCTTAATTTATTTTTAAAAACCTGATTGGCAGAAAATAACTGAGCCTTTGAATTTGTAGAAAATCATCCTCTAAAAGCCAGAATTGCATCTCCAATGCGTTGTATCACGTTCAACAAAGAAAAATTAAATTGAATCAATAGCATGTAGATCAATTTAATAAAATAATAAATTAATCATAAAAAAATGATTTAAATGTAATACTCTCCTGATTGAAGAACAAACTCTTTTTAGCGCAACGTCATCAGCATGCTGATAACGTGTTGTAGGCCTAATTTATTGACTATAATAGGAACAAAGAGAGAGGGGGTGTGGCAACAGTAAAGAGAAAGAGAGATGTATAATTATGAAGTATGTGTTATTCCACCCCATTTGTTATTGGATTAGTTACACTCCACGTAGAATTATTTAAATTTTTTAAGCTTTAATCTGGAAAAGATTCGAGATACTCTTATTGTAATAACTCTTCAAAATTGTAGAAAATGTTGCTGTCCTATTAAATTAGGAATTTGATTGTGTAAATCCTAGTGTATCTAGGGATATCTTGGAATATTCTCTAGGGTTAGATATTATCCTATTAAAGTTGTAATTATATTAGGGGTAAGGATTTAACTTTCCCAACTACTATAAATAAAGGCAAAAGTTTCAATTTTGGAGAATTATTATAATAAAAGTATCTCGAATCTTTTCTAGATTAAAGCTTAAAATTTTTAAATAGTTAGTTCTATGTAGAGTAACTAATCTAATAACAAAAGTTCCAATTTTGAAGAATTATTATAATAAGAGTATCTCGAATCTTTTTCAGATTAAAACTTAAAAAATTTAAATAATTTTACGTAGAGTAACTAATCCAATAACAAAAGTTTCTTAAGACAGCCATAGAAGGCTACCGCGAGACAATTTTTATTTTTATTTTCTGAAGAGGATTATATTCGGAACTATTGTATGTCGTCCAAGGTTTAGTATTGACAAGTTTCAGAAGTTTTTCTTGACTTTGCCTGCGTCAACAAAAAAAAGCTAAGGTAATCAAACATTGAGAATTTACTGCTAATCGGTCGGTAGTCCTCCTTGGTAATCCCATCGGCAATCAAATCATATGGTTTTATACTTTTTCCACTGACAATTATATTTTTCCAAAATCAGTTTAACATGAACAAACTCAAACATTTATAACTAAAAAAAAGAGGCTGCACTGCTGCATCCACCTCCGGCGCAACTGTGTAAATTTACACAAATTTATGTTAAAAAATAAATAATGCCCTACAGATTTTACAAGAGGATACGTACGGTGAACTAGAGATCGATCACTATGGAGCTTCTGTAGGCATGTAAATGTCTTCTTCGTCCAACAATGCTGCAATATCTATGAGGTCGTGATCCATATCGACTCTCCCTTCTGAACTAGTCGTACCACTATCATATACCTCCTGCATAACATCAGTTAAAAGTTCAACGAAAAACCAGTCAGGCTTATAAAGTGGATACAAAATTCAAACCAATCACCAACGCGGACACATGCTTTACCTTGGTTTCCTGTATCTCAGTAACAACATTCAGCAGCCGACAGTATTGATCTCTTGCTTCAGGATATTGAACCATGGACTTCACCCTCGCAAGCGCCTTTTGCAACCTTTGCTCTGTTTGCTTCCTTCCTTCTTTCAGTACATCATAATCATCATCCTTCGATGATGAAGCTTGCGTGCTGGGGGCTTCAGTAAGCGGTTCTGGCTTGAACCCACGCAAACCACTTCCTTTTCTTCTCCAACGCAAAATTATCTTTTCTACAATTCCTACAGTCCAGACTATCTTTCTGTAGTTTTTCCTCACCTGGTGGCCTCTTACATGAGCCTGTTATCAAGAAGGTAGAAGTTCAACTTCAAGAATGGGTCTGAGCACAGAACAATGTTTATGGGAGAAATACGGAGATAATTAAAGGCCTCAAAAATTGAATCAACCCACAAATCATATTAACAAAGAGAATCATGGTAACATACCTGAATTTTGACAATACGTTGTCGGATTATCAAATAATCTTTTCTACCCTTCCAACTACGGAACTTATTTTGTATTCGAATTGCAGCAGCATCCACATGCTCATCACGTTTCCCTGGCTTATGTGACTTGACTGCAATCATTGATAGAGCATCTTCATCTGAAATTCCAAAGTTATCACTACCATATTCTTTCAACTGCTTCAGCTGGAAAGATTTTACCCTGAACACTTGATGAATACGAGCAGCAGCTTGGGTAGCATTACAGACAGCAGTTAAAGAATCCCTCAAGGAAAGCCCATCCATTAAATCCCCATTCCCAATAGGAGTTGCAAATTGTTCTGAAACTGTTCGTACTGCATTGGCCCCTGAAATATCAGCATTATTGTCTTCCTTGATATCCAAATTAAGAAATGAAAGTTGGTCACTCAAAGCAGATTCTGCAAGATAACCAGCAATTCCCTTGTGGCCCCGTGCAGAAGCTAGGTCTGCAGGTGTTCTTCCATTAGGATATTTGGTTCTTGGATCTGTTAATAATCCGGGAGCTGCACCAAGAGAGATGAGGGAAGCAACTGTGCGCTCTCTGATATTAATTACATGAACAGAAGAAAATGAAAACAGAAAACAAGTTAAAATTAGATAAAACTAAATTAACAAGTCAAGAATGGAGATAATATCAAATGCAAGATTCTGAGAGCTGTCCTATTTAAGAAAATCCTGGCACAACGATCTGAACCAGATACATAGAAGTAAATGCATTCTCTTGATCTACGGTCTAGCTTTTCATACAAAAGGATAGTGTTTTTTCTCTTCTGATTTCTTCATATTTAGAGAATATCATTCTCCTTTTGTCTCTCTGGTGTATTAACTGCAAGTTTACGTAACTTTTAATATCCATCTCAGGCCTCTTCTTCCTACAATAGCTCTGCAAGTTCTCCTTTTTTTTTTTTTTTTTTTTTTTTTCTTTCTTTTATGCTTTCTTTTCATTCATCAGTTTGTTTTTAAGCAAGTAAATTGTTGATGGTTATGGTGAAATAGTAGATCGTAGCTGGTGGCTCACATGCTGAAAGAAGAATACTACAGAAGAATAGAAAGGAATGCAGAGCAGCACGGAAGTTCAAAAAAGGAAAGAAACTTTTCTATGGTGCTCACCTGCCACAAAAAGCTGCCCAGTGAAGAGCTGTCCATCCATTAATGTCACGAAAATTGACACTGACTCCGGCAGTTATTGTGGGCAGTAAGACCCAATCATAGCCAAGAGCAGCTCCAAAATGTAATACACCTTGGCCACCCTCGTCTAGTACACTAGGGCCTTTTCCACCAGCAGCCAGCTTTTGCAAGAGCCATGCATGCAACTTCTCTTTAAGTAGCTGTTGAAGCATCTGGTCCTCTACTCTCTCCAAGGAAAAGTCCTCATTTGACGTAAGTTGTAGCATCTTGTCCCACTCACCATTGTCATTTTTCAGCAACAAATCAATTTTACTGATTATCTCAGAATTCTCTGCTACGCTGGTGGGATCAAAAGTTGGAGAGCTAGAGCTTAAAGACAGTAATTTTCCAAAGCGCATATTTAATATTTCATTTGTGCAGCCACTGTAATCATCTTTAACATCATAATCTGGTATTTGCCCAACTCGGTATTCAAATTCCCTGATTTCACTACAAGCCAGCCTATTGGAACATGTAACGTAGAAAGGAATTCTCCCAGCCTTATGGATGGGAGTATAACAACGAAGAACACCATCTGCTATAACCTCAGCAGGAACTTCAACTTCCCCAAACATGCATGACCACTTACAACTTTCTGCTTGTTGACTCTTGAAAAATCTTCCTGTGATCAGAACCTGCATAAATCGAGTTCACAATGAGACAATTTTTGATACATGAGAAACTTGAAGATAACTCTTACACAAAAGTATAGTAAGGAATATGGAAGACTAAGTTACTCTTTACCTTGATTTCAGAGTTTTCATATGCCCAGTTTGGTGAGAAATCAATAATGCTAAAAAGCTGGTCCCGGGAAAGAGAAGGCCCCAGCATATAGCTATCCAAGCGTACTTGAAGAGGAATACTGGACTCATCGACCCCATTGTCACTTTCAACAGTATCCCAGTACGTCTCTGAATTAGATTGTGTGTGTGTCTCTTCCACGTCTCCAAGTTCTTTGCTCATCCATCGGTTGAAACTGTCAAGCTTCTTCAAGCCTTCATCTAACAAAGGCTTTGTAGCAAAAGTGTGATTGTATTTTCCCTCTATGGTTTCATTTCTCTTTGAAATAGACTTCAGATGATATTCTTTCTCAGTGTTTGAAGGCTGTATTTGAAGGTCATTTGGCATAGAATAATTATTTTTCTTCTCAGAATCCACACAGCACACCGGTGAATTGAGTAAATTAGAATCATCGACTCCTCCATGGAACCTTGTGGTGACATCATACGCTGTGTCTGAATGCAAGTTCCAATCCACAGGCCAGCTGGATGAACCAGAAGTGTTGGCTTCCAAAGTCTGTTGGAAAGTCAAACCGAAGGGTGAACAAACAGAAGAATTTGAAAAAGCAGAAAACAATCCATTAAGAAGAGCCGTACTCATGCTCCCCACTAAACCTGCAGCAGAGGTGCCAAAGTAATGGAAGGGGAACCCAAATAGTTCCCCTCCGTAAACTTGTATTCTGAGTATGCTTAAATAACCAATAATCGCATACATTTATTTTATTTATTTGATTTACCATTAACAAACTACAAATTTATAAATATTTAGGCAGGATTTTAGGACTTTGCAAGCATATGGCAACGATAACCATCACTAGAAAGTTTTCAAGTGCAGAAAACAGGATATTGAAAACTTCAAACACACTAGACCATCGCATTAGCCAACTACATGATTAAATGACTCACAATAAAGGATGATGACTGGAAAGCTCATATATACAGATAACTTATGCAGAAGTACCACATAACCTAATTACATTGATAATTTTCATTAAAAATTAAAATCCCATCATAATAAGTTCTAGAAACTTGGAAATATCAGAAATAATTTAAGAACCGACATCTCAAATATTTGTTTGAGTAGTTGGAAACAATTAGACTAATTTCTTGTCAAACTCCATGCTTAATTAGGTTTCACCATGTGTACAGTTTTCTCACACATAAACAGAATCAGTATATGCTTCCATGATCTTTGATATTGTCAGTGTAAATGAATTCTAAAAATCCAAACAAAAAACCTGATGGTAAAAAATATCTTCTATGGTGAATCCAAGTATATTAAACTGATGAAAAAGAATATCTTTTATGCATGCTTCACCAGTTTTCACTTGTGAATGTCCGTCGTCAGACTCCAAAACAGATATACCATCCTTAATGGTTATTATACAAGCTTGTAGCCATAGCCCTAGAATAAAAAATTTGTCATGAGCAGCATGAGCAGCATTAAATGTGCAAGTAAACTTCCCCTTACCTGCCAGCTTTGTTGGACCCTGGGTTTATCCTCGTAGTTCTGCTTTTTACCAAAGTTGTCTGTGAAAAGGTGCCCAAGCGTCTCATTCTCTTGCTGAGAGATAATTCCTATTGAATCAGAATGTGTTGCTGAAATTGATGGCTGAAAAGGCAAAGATTGAAAGCCAGTAGTAATATTCCCCAAGGCACCATCCCATACTGCGGAGTTAAGATTTTTCCTGGGATCATAGGTAACGCCAGCATCATTACCATCTTCCTTCCTATATGCTTCAGTACGTGAGCTAAAATTCACCCCAGGAACGGCCGACAATTTTTCTTGATATTCATCTGTTTTCAATGATTTTATCATGAACTTGGTCCATTTAATTCAACAGATAGTCTGGCTATTTAAAAGCACCAATGCATTTACAAAGACAATTTATAGAAAATACGAGTAAAAATCTTACTTGAAAATGACATCGGATAGCATGCATTAGAGAATCCAGCATTGATCTTCTCAGCCTTAGGCTGTAGTAACTCGAGAAAAGGTTGTAACTGGGAACTTGCTTGGTGTTTATATGCTGCATCATGTACCACGTTAAGTTAAATTAAAGATAACTGCATGAAAGATATATATATATGGGGAATAAGATCAAGGGACAAATATTTTTACAAATACTTTTACACTCTTTTTAAGCCTTTTGATTACATGACATCCAATGGTTCTTATTTATTCATTAAATGACATGGATGCTTATGTGGATTTTAAGTAATATTAAAGATAAAATAAAACTAGAGAAAAACATAAAATCTGGAAAATTAAAACTAAAATTAAAAAAGGAAGAAACCTTAGTCGTATGCAGTCCTTGTTACATAAAATAAGATACATTACGTACTAGCTTTAAAAGCTGGTACGAAGAATAATAAGATACACTGGAATGGAGTACTAGGGTTTATGCCGTTCACATCACTTCTGTGCAAATGGAGTATTCTCTCTGGACTCAGGAAATTGAAAATGTGATAATCCCATTTTGCAGGTTTATATTTTCACCTTTGAATTCTACATAGTCAAATTTGCAGAACTAGATTTTGGTTTCGCAAGTCCATAATTTGTAGAACTAGATTTATTTGCACCTAAATGATTTGATTTAATTATTATTTTTTTATATGATTAATATCAAGATTGGCTTGGGTGTATTGTTGTTGCTGCTCGACAGCATTGTTTAGGGTCTTGATTCAGAATTCCATTTAATTAATAATAATAAAGGGGGCTGTTTTGTTACACAAATATATATTAGTTAAAATCCACATAAGCATCCATGTCATTTAATGAATAAATACGAACCATTGGATGTCATGTAATCAAAAGGCTTAAAAAGAATGTGAAAGTATTTGTAAAAATATTTGTCCCTTGATCCTATCCCTATATGTGTGTGTGTGTGTGTGTGTCTATATATATATATATATATATAAAGGTAAAACTGGAAAATGAACAAACAAGTTTAGTTCTACCAAAATATTTATAAGAGAGAGGAAATTATTGACAAATGTGGTAACAGAAATGGACAACACACCTGATTCAGCATCTTCAAACTCTGATGCTTGAGCACTACTCAAGCTTGTTGTATCAGCAGCTTGGGAACACATTTGGAAATTATTTGGATTGAAACTAGAAGAAACAGAATTGTCCATCTCAGAATTGAGTGCAATTTCTTCAGTTTCATGGGAATAAGGAACAGCTTCTTCAGTGCCCTTAAAATGGTTATAGTTTGTCCTATTTCCCTGAACAAGCAATGAAAATAAATGAGGAAACCCAGAATATAAATAAATATCCATAAGATAAATAAAAAGTGGGAAGTGGACCAAAAGCCGAGCACGAACTTCTCTTCTTTCTCTGGTACTCCTTTTACACTAAGTGACTAATTTATTAACAAGTTTTCGACATTGATTCAAACATGAATCACAGGTTCAATTCAAGTATTCAAAAATGCACGAGTGAAAGTATATATAACATGAGCAGTTGCTTTTAAATGACACGCACTTTTACCTTGAAATGGAATAACAATAACTCTTATGATATTTCGGGTCCAAAAATATTTTAAAATGATGATAACGAAGGGCTGGAAGAATCACATAAACAAAGACGGCAAACAACAAGAATGAAATGAATAGAATAATGCACAACCTTAACTTCCCGGTAGTGGACAAGAACTATGTGTTGCAGATCCCTGCAGCAATGACCAAGTAAGTCAGACGTGGGTATTCAAATGAGCAGGCAGCCATGGGTGCCTGCTTGTACTTGCAAACACATCCACAAACACTGCTAAGGCTGAGAACCAAAATCTTTGATGGATTTGTTGCATATAAGCAATTATAAAATACAAACTCACTCCTCAAGCATCCAATAACTGCGTCTTTGGAAATTTTCATTTTCTTCTCCATGTGCATAATAGCAGTGCAATACATCAACACTTCCAGCCTGAAAGGATCAATTATTATTCAACCAATTTGATTAAAAAACCAAAGGATTTATTAACGAATTAACTCTTGACACAAGCCACAAAAACTTGAGAAATCTTTAGTATCTAATTGTTACCGCCTACTTAATGAAATCTTAAACCAATTTTCTTTCCCCCTCTGTTAAGCTGCAATTTTATTCAATGAACTTTTTTCCTTGACATGGGTACCTCCTAACATTTAATTTTGGGATAAAATAAGGGTGCAGACTTGCCGCAACAAGTTGAGCTTTGGACTACACAGACTTGGCTGGCAACTTTTTTGAGCTCAAGCGAAATACCAGCCTTGAAATTTCCACCAAGCTATATCACAGCCTGGATTCAGACCAAACTAAATTCGTGAGTGTGAGCTATAAAATAGATTGAATATAAATCTATAAAGGAGTGACCTAAATCGTAAGTTCACCAAAGACCTTCATGAATACTCACAAGTGGATCGTTCATTTGTATCCCTAACATGAAAGTTTTCAATTTAAAAAGAATTTGTAAAGAATGCAATTGCATAACCATTATATAATTTAAAGCCACAACTGTGATTTCCTAAGCCTTAGCTGCCCACAACACCAAATTAGAGCTATTGACATTCGACATCAGAATCTCCCACATCAATCTTATACCAGAGTTCCTCCCCTCTATTTAATTATGTTTGGTATTTAGGTTACTTACTTTTGTCAAAATCCTTGGGCCAAAAAATAATTTTCAGGATAAAGTTATAACATAACGTAGCTCCTAAAAATTATTCAATCAAATTTGATGTGAAAAATTGTCATAATATATTTATATGTGCTTTGTAAAATTTATTACAGCATTCTTTGATGATTACCTTAAGTCTCTCATGGGCTTCCCTCACTGTCTTTCCATCTTTTTTCTTCCTCCAGTTATGCCCATCTTTCCTGAAATATCTAAGCACCTTCCGATCAAATAGAAAAAGCGATCCACCTAATACAAATGATGTGTGTCAACCAATAGTAAGTATCCAAAGGTAAATGCAAAAACACAACAAAGCAAGCTGCAAATCAAATTTCCGCAAACATCTCAAAAAATTTTAAATTAGTGTAAATGCATTTACAACTTCATGTGATGCTATTATATACGACCTTAAAAAGGAAAATCGTGAGCCTTTACATGCAAAAGTGAATGCATTAGTGCCTACTAAAAACAAACCAAAGACAACACAAGACTCAACTATCATGTCAGACGGCAATGAAAAAACAAAGATGGTTAAAGATTTTACTGCTTTTTAACACAAGCACCAATTGACAGATAATCCCTAGTCACAACGTTATGAGAAGAAGTTTCAATACATGTCCCAAAAGGAAGATTTAGAGAATGATGCACAAAGAAAAACCAAACATAAAAAAGGTGTCCTGACGTGCCTTAAAATGTTTCAGAGTTAAGATTTTAAAAAAGAAAACTACCAGGCCTACCCTCCTATTAAATCATTGTGCAAGCAGAGGGAAGACCATGTTCTACAAAATAATCCGCAATGTTTGTTGACAACTGTACAGATTACTATCACACATGCCCATTGAAAGACAAGCTTCATTACAATTACGTTTGGGGGTGAGACCAAGAACACACCTTCCATGTAACTTTTGAGTAGATGGAAATAGTAAGAGAAATACTCAAAGCTGGGAAAGCGCTTTCTTAGGCTCCAAGAGAATTGAGAAATTTACTTAGAAAACCAAAGTTAAGAAATCTTACAAATTAATGATTTTTTATGTGATAGAAAGTAGAGACTTCAATAACAATATTTATCGCTAAATCCAATGCAGCTGAAAAATCATACCGGGTGGCATATTTGCAGGCTCTGAAGAAATGTCAAATTTTTGGAAATTTCGAAGAATTTCACATATTTCAGCCGGGCGTAGCCAGCGATGTTTAGCTTCTAGGAGTATCTGCGCAATATCTGCATTCAATTATTACATCACATTAGAAAATATCCATATTCCATATATAAAATAGATAATAGTGCACTATAATGCTTGACCCACTGTCATGATTATAGACAGATTTAAAGCTAAAAGAGAAAAGTAATTTACAGGATGGACTCCTCTTGACCTAGTGGTAGACTTGTTGACAACAACTTCAAAGATAATCATCTGATTCAGGAGTTCCTCCTAAATTTACTTCATGTATCAAGGAATAGAACTGAGTAATCCTAAGGCAAAAGGGTCGAGAAACTCAAGGCCACAATTCTTGAACAACTTGGAGTTGGGCCTTCTTTTCGCACTATCACGAAAACAAAAATAATGGGAAAAATAGGATTGACTATGGATTTGAACCATAGCACATGGTTTCAGAAAACAGTACATTTTCCCAATCTAAATAGATTCATATAACTTCGTATTTATAATCAAAACTGTTTATATTATAAATCACTTTGTAAAAATCATCTCTATAAAAAATGAATTAAAACTAAGGTCGTTTAGTCAATCAACGATAGCAAACAGATTGACAGTTCATAATGCTTTTACGGAATTTGTCCATCTGTTTTTTATAGTTTGATGACCAAATGATCTCATATTTTTTTGCAGAGTTGATCTTTATAAAGTGATTTATAATATCAAAGGTTCTAATAATAAGCTTGAAGTTCCATGAATCGGCCACAAAGTGAATTGAGGAGGAGTTCCTCCTCAACAATTGAGGAGCCAAGTTAATCCCTTATTTAATTTTTAGCTTCCTTGGAGACCTTAAGACAGAAATAAGGAACATGGATGAGACGATTTACCATGTCATACTCTCTCAAGCAATCAAATTGGCTAAAATGAAAAAAACCACATCAAGCCACAATCTTAATAACGGAGCACATTTATCATAACTAGATATCCCAGCCTCATCTTGCCAGCTAATTTGAGGTCTAAGAATTCAAGGAACCAAAAGAAAACCCACTAAGAAGGCCTTCAACCAGTTTAAAGAAAGTCTTAAGCAAGAATCAACATCTACATCTTTTTGTAACAGACCGTGAGGAAGATGAACCGCCTGCATACTAGAGGAATTAGACAACTTCTTGCAAACATAGAGAGTGGCCTTAGAGATTTTTGTCCATCCCTTATAAGGACATGTAGCCCACAAAAGATAACCAGGATCGTCAAGAAATGTCATTGATCATCATGGTGAACAGTGGGAGCACCCACAGATTCCTGGATCTTTAAGGCACAGAACAAGGAGGCTGAACCTAAGAGCCCACAGCAAGTGTGGCAGATTGAAGTTTAGTAATTAACACTAAAGATCCAGATTTCTAACAGGCAGTGCGGATCAAAACAATATGAGGCAGAAATGAGAATTCTGCCATTGGTAGCTTGTAACAAGGTACTAAGGATGGATAGACAATAAGGGATCCATCTAGGCTTTCATGTCACCAGCTTAAGAAGAAAACTGGGAAACCTATCCCTCCAGGAACTCAACTACCATTAGCGGGAAAGGAAGGTCGGCTATTAGCAGATTCTATAACCATTAGAGGGAGAAACTGCCAGGTACTTAAGTGCTATTCCAAGGGTCAGAATTAATACTAGAAAATGCTACTTGAGAATATAGATCATGCATTGCAACCTAATTTCCTCGTTTTTGTTCTCAAGGACACAGTATGGAGGGATGAGGTCCATTGTCATTTTCTAAAGAAGTAAAGAGGAGTTAACAATGGTTGGCTGCTATTGTTGATGCTGATGTCATGCTAAAGCTAGCTGCACAACTAAGCCTACGCTTTGACTATTAAGTGCCAAAGTGGTGAGTGGCTACTTCTGCTGCTTCACAAGAAAAACGTTGAAAAAGGATCTACGGACCTACGCTTTGACTAGGAAGCTCGTCTTAATTCTTTAGTTGATGCTATTCTGCGTTCATGGACATAAATTTGAATGTTTGATTCGAAGTTGTATTATTCCAACGCAACACCATATAATCAGAGTAGGCTAGAGTTTTTGATATGGTCAGTTGGGAGAAGTTAGTTTAGTACTTGATTGATTACTTTGCTGGTGGCCTATGATTTTCAATGAAGATTGAGAAGTTCTTCTCCTTCCATAAGAAAATAATACGCAGCCAGTAGCTCCAGACCGGACTAGACTAAGTGTGACGCTGATTGGATAATCAAAAAGGGTAGGCTGGCTGGAATTGAAGACTGTTTCAGTTCTCAATAGCATTTCCATCGTTTGGCAAAAGATATAATTTTTTTCAAAAAATAAATCACAAGATTACCAATAAATCTCAAATTTTCTCAGCAACAGCAGAGAAAACAACAGAAAACCCAAAATTCAACTTGGATAAACAAGTAGCACAAGAAAATAATAAATGAATTACACAAAGTTATATATAAAAGCAAAGAAAAACATTAAACAAACTTACCCAATTGATTACCAAGACCGTAGCGCTTGATCTCCGCCATGAACTCAATATGGGTTGCAATCACTGTAACCAGAAGCAGCAGAACTAAGTTGAACTTGTATAAAATTCACTCAAACACAGACACCAAAAAGTTGAGCCTCCATTGAAATGTAAAAGCGTGTGATGAAGACTGCAAATAAAGGGAGAAACTTCCAGGGTGAGAAGGGAAATAAAGGAAGGTTCTGAGGAAGGTGAGAAAAATGCAGCAGAAATTTTATGGAAATAAGGAAAGTAATGAAAAAATAAAATAAAGAATAAAGTAAATAAAGGTTAAAATAAATAATATTAAGGTTGATTTTTTAATGTAAAAATATAATTTTGCATTAAATTAAATAGTACCGAAAAATTTTCGTTAAAATTTTCATAAAAATTTCATAAGAAGGATAGTAACTAATTTTTTGACTCGTCCTCACTCGTTTCATAAGAGAACAGTAACTATTGTTTTTACTCGTCCTCACTCGTGTGTTTGTGTGTGGTGCATGAATGAGAAGACTGTTCATACTTTTCGTATATAAAACTTGGGCCACTTTTTTTGACGTAAAAATTTGGGATCGTTTTCGTCTATCGGGGATTTTACTTCCTTTCTTCCTATGTCTGGTCCCTTTTAGTATTTTCAAAATTGGTTTCAAATTTAGGGAGTTTTGCTTTTAAACTAGCTTAAGCCTACCACACACTTTGTGTGTGAAGCAGTTTTTATTTGTTTTTTAATTTGTATTTTATTAAGAAAGTATATAAGAGAGAAGTTTGAGAGAAATTTGAAAAAGAGAGAGTGATAGAGAGAGAAAACGTGGAGTGAAGAGATGTGTCATACTAAATCTTATTTGGATTCTACAATATCTTTTAAACAGTTTGTAAGTTGTAATGTATAACTTGAAAGTCAAGTAGTCTTCATTCCTTACTACAATAAGTAAAAAGCATAATGAGGTGAGATAATACACATCACATAATTCACTAAATTCTCTCATTTTTCTCTGCTTGCTGAACTCTTCCTCTCTATTATAATTCTTCAATTAACTATACCAATAACACATTATCAACACATTTTTGACGTTGCGTTAAAGAGAGTATGTCCATCTTTAATGAGGGAAGTGTTATGTTTCAACCATTCTTATTATGATTCACTTATTATAACAGAGGTTTTGGATTTTTTCATAGACTCACCTTCACAAGTTGGGGTTTCTTTAGAGGTTCTAAATGAACCAGCCTTATCAACTCCAATCCAAGCACATCTTTAATCCACATGAAATCGAGCGCTCACACCCTTCACCACCTCCCTCTCTCTGCCTCTCTTTCCCTGCCCATTCAACCCTCAATCTTCGACAAAAACACACCCATTAAATTGAAAAAATTAAAGGTATGTGATTTACCAACTCCCAATTAATCCACACTGAAATCAACCCTCCCGCCTTTTACCAGCTCTCTCTGCCTTTCTTTCCAGGCGAAGGCAACCCTCTGGATGCAAATTTCCATCTTCTTCTTCTTGGACAAAATTGCACCTACAAAACAAATAACACCTTAGGCCAAGGCCTAGAGCCTCACGCGCCCACAATGAATTTGGGGGGGGGGGCGCTTTGGCTGAAGAACCTCCGATGCCAAAATTAGAATTTTGAGGGAAAAATATTTGGAGAATTTAGATAATTTTGCAAGAGAGTTGGAATTGAGTTTGGGAGAAAATGAGAAATAGGTTTTGAATAATTATCTATTTTGAGCACTTTTGACCTTTATTGAGTCATGATTGTCCACTGCTCGAGTATAAGAGTTCTGATATTCCTCGAGAGTAATTTTGTCCTTTTTACCCTAGAATCCACGTGTTGCCTCCATATTTTTCTCGATTATTTTTGGCTCCACAAATGCCCTCACACTTGTTGGGCTGCTCGCATGAAAGGGCAGTAGGTGTAGAGATCTTCTTGCTTTAGGAAATGTAGGATTGTTTCCTATTTTGATGTAGATTCTCTCTTTAATTGGAAATTAGATCCTTCTAGGAAAGGGAAATAAATCACTTTTAAAGTCTATTTAAGTCTACCTTAAGTAGATGATTAAATCAACTTTAGAGAGCAATTTATTCTACCCTACAAGAGAGAGAAAGCTAGAGGATATTTGTTCCCCTTCCCCTAGCAATCTTCTACACTTGCCTATGCAAAGGACCATCTTTCGTTGCTTTCTTCGTTTTCTTCGTGCCGTACTGAGGTAAGAAAAAATTAATTTTCCTTGTCTTCTTGGATAGTGCTGTTATGGGGCAACCGTCAGTGTGGTGTGGCACGTCAGCTGGCAGGGGCCAGAAATCGGCTCAGTATGGGTCAATGAGGTGTTGTGGCAAAGGCCATTGCTTGGGTTGCTCGACTTGGCTAGAGCCAAGGGTAACTTGTGCAGCTGGCACTGCGGATTAAAGCGTTGAGGCGCAATGCTAGGCGAGCCGCATGGCTCATGTCTTTTGGGCTCTTAGACCTGACGCAGGTCGGGCCAGCAATTGAGAGAAATGAAGAAGTCGTGGGCCTCATAGGCTGCTAGAATGCTGGGCATGCAGGTCTCCTGCATGCTAGTCCGAGAGAAAAAAATGAGGGAAAAGCCAGTATGGGTTGAGCTCCCCTACTGAGTACCGTGAATGGCTTTGGCTGCTTAGTCTTCTTCACCGGAAGAAAGGTAGGATGTTCCCGAGATAAGAGGTAAAGAGCATCAAGGTGAATGCATTAGGTCATCTGATCGTTGTTGTGGAGCCTACTATGAATGAATGTGGAAAGAAGAGATCTTCCTCGCCTGCTCAAGAGATTCCGATTGAGAAAAAACTGAAAACTTTCTCCGCTGCTCGTAAGGGTCCGCCTGCTACCAAGAGGCTTGTGATTGACATGACTTCTTCTAATACGAAGAAAAATAAGGTTGTTAGATCTGAGCCTGTGGCGCCTGCCATGTCGAGAATGGCTAGTATGATTGCTGATAGGATTGCTCAGCGTAAAGGTCCTGTCATGCCCTCAGTGCCAAAGTCTGTACCAAAATGTTTGTTGGGAGCTAAGTTTGGTTCACCTTTGGAGAAGCTTGCTATTATAAAGAGCGATAAGGTGGACTCTACTGCTAAAGTGGCGCCAAGGCCCACTCCTTTTGCTGCTGAAACTAATTCGCCTGTTGATCTGCTCGCGTGGGCAGTTGTGAGAAATCCACTAAGCCTACTTCTGGGAAGGCTGATGAGATCTGCATGCTTTTGAAACCAAATCTACTCGAGGACATGGATGTGTGTGCCAAATTTGTTAATGGGGTCAATTGGGTTGTTGGCCGAAGTTCCTTTGCGATGCATACAGCTGAGTATATGAAGACTGCTCTGCTAGCTATGATGCAGAAAAAAGGTGATTTTGGCAGCCGAGTCTATGTCCCTTGATCAAGAGGATACCAAAGTTGCCAAGAAGGTGGCAAGAACTGTGGCAGTCAAAGCTTAGTCCTCGGCTGAGAAAGTCAAGAAGTTGGAATCTGAGCTTGCTGCTTTGAAAGGGTCTAATATCTCTACCTCTACTTCTCTGCAGCTTAAGATCACTTGCCAAGAGATCGTGGATTTGAAGACTAGGCTTGACGTAATCCAAGTAAAGTATGAAAGTGTAGAGAATGAGATTAAATGTTACATACCTTAGATTCAAGATTTGCGCGTTCCGTTTCTGAGCTACATTCCGTTGCTTGTGCAAAGGATGAAGAGTTAATTGCTGCTTATAACCAAGTGAACCACTTCAACAAGGTCGTTGATAGGCTCGAGCCCCAAATGTTGGAACTCCAAGGTACGCTGAAGATCAATGAAAGTCTGAATAAGGAAGTGGATGAATTGCAGTGCGTCCGTGTTGGTTTGCTCAAGGAGAATGAGTAGCTGAAAGGTGAAAAGGCTGGGCTCGAGGCTTCGCATGTGCAAAGTCAGGCCGATTTCTATAAGTTGGGTTATGTAAATCATCTCATTGGTAGGCTGTTTGATTTTGAGTTTGTTAGGAAAGACTTCGAGACCTTATCTATTTCTTTAGAAAACTTGCTTGCCTTTACCTTTGAGGTTTCTATTGGTGAAGTAGTTAGAGAGATTGGTGCCCAGGCTGAAACAATCGGGGGTAAAGCGCCGGATGGTACAGCTGTTGAGAATGTCGCGACTACTGAAGGTGTGGCGACTAAGTAGTCATGGAGTGTCCAAGCTGCTGAAAAGTAGTCTTCTAAGTAGTCTTTAGGATTTTCTTTGTTTCCCTTGTTGCTTTTCTCCATCTTCACTTCTTTTGTTCATGCCTTAACCTTTAGACTTTATAGACCAGTGACAGGCATGCTACTTTTCTACAAACAAACAGGCCCGCGTAGCTTATGCAGCCATAGGTGTTGGTGTAGAACTTTGCAAAGTTGTTAGCCATAGGGCCGGCAACCGGACGCCTTACTTACAGAAGCAAACAAGTCTTTGTAACCATTAGGATGTTAACCTTGGCTTTCTTTAATTCCGTAGGTTGCGTAGCAAGTATCACAACACTTTATGACTTGGTGTAGGTTGTTCCATGCTTGGCAGAGGGGAAGCTTATCGACTATATAGCATGTTGTTAGTGGATAAAGCTTCATATATACACGCTAGCTTGTTTAACCTTTCACAAGAATGTGTAGTTGTATAAGTCTAACGTGATTTAACTGCTCGACAGGCAAGCCGTAGGTAATTTTCCAGAAATCGTAGGCTACCTTAGTGCACTCAGTAAGTTTACCTTCTCGTACTGGAGAGCAATTAGTTTATCTTCTCACACTGGAGAGCAGACCCAGATGGGTGTTGGGGAATTGGTTTACCCTCTCATACTGGAGAGCATGGTTGGTCCATCGAGGGTGCAATTCCTGCAATGAGTCCTTGAGAAGGGCGTCGTCTTCTTTTAAAATGCATGAGTGATTAGTTGTTGTAAGCATGCAGCCACGCCAAGTTATAGATTACTTCTGAATTCCTCATTGAAATACGAATGAGAACTTAGCTGTAAGATAGGAACTACATAACAATTGGATAGTCGTTGGCTCGCATGGTGATGCACGTCAAGCTGCTTGAGTCTTCGGGCTTTGATGTGGTGAAAGGTCAGACATGGTACTTCCCTCGAATTGTAGGTGTTTCATTGTTTTTCGATCTCTTTGTTGTTCATGGTGGCAAGGGTGTAACTATCATTGCCACATACTTTGTTAATCTTGTACGGACCTTCCCATATGGGATTCATCTTTTTGGAGCCTTC